ATTTTTTTTTTAAATCTCTGATGGAATTTTGAATCTGTTTTATGTAGTTAACTTCAATAGAATATACGACAAAATTTTCTCATTGAAATTAGTTTCATAAAACAAAATATACAAATATAAATTGTCCGAAATTTTAAAATATCGATTTCAAATTTGATAAAAATATTATATAATTTATTTAATTAAATTCCTGTAAACTCAAAAATCAAGAAATTATAATGAAATATTTAATTAAATTTTAATTTAAATGAGTTGTATTTAGTTGATTTCGATTACTGTACTACAAAGCATTTCCATATTAACTGAGAGAAAAGAAGAAAAAGCACGAGTTAAAATATTAAAAAGAAATTACGTCCATCATGAAAAAGACATGATGAAAAATGCATCCGATGACGTGAGTCACTCAATCATGTGACGATGATGTTTTTCAAGGTTTTAGATTATGACGTAAAAGCCTACAGTCCGCGCGGGACGAAATGTTCTGTCTAGTTCTTTAAGCCGTATGAAGATAACATGAGGAATTTTTGGGTGTTGGTCTGTCTATCCGGATATGTCTCTAACCACAGAGCTTCCAAATAGTGGGCCTAACGACACTAAAAAGCACCCCTTATTGCTTAAATAGCGGAAAGAATTTTAAAAAAAACCCTATGAAGTCGTCATAGTAGTTACGAAGTAAAATATTAAAATTCTTCCCATGGAAATTGCATTAATAAAGTGATTCGAATGTAAAATAAGTTATATTTAAAATTTTATTTATCGTATTTCTGTTAATAAACGATAAATATTCGATTTTATTGTTTATCAGTTTTATTTATTCCTTAAAGAATAACACAAGATATTGAAAGATTAGTTTGAAATAGTGAAATAGTAAATCTAAATCTTTTATTATAAAATAATGATAGTATGACTAACAATATAGAAGACAAAAGATTCTTGCTTTCAAAAGAGAAAACATGGAAATCTATAAAACGTAATTGTAATGTATTGTCTAATATTTGTAATATTTGAATTTCTCTCGCTTAGGAGTGGTGTCTAGAGATTTATGTGACCAATGATTTTCAATAAACATAAACACGTCAATTATACTCAGCGCAGAGGCTTCACTCCAAAATCATTTCTAAGAAATCTACGTTTCTCTGAAATGATTTTGGAGGACCTTGTAAAATTGTGCCTTATTCCTGTTGCCAATACTATAATCTACCCAGTACAAAAAGTATTTGTTTATTTAATAGTAGCAACTATGGCTCATTCAGACGCAAGATTCGAAGAAAGCTTGGTTAACCAGGTAAACAATAGAATATTGACATTGCATCTACGATAATAAAATATTGGCATCATATTTTTGTAATACAGTAGAGCGTCGTTTATCCGAATCAATTGGGGACTGGAGTTGTCGGATAACTTATTTTTCGGATAACCGATTATGCACAAAAAAATATCCCATGTTGAAACTTTTCTCCGTTGCATGTTGCTTCGCGTTGAATTTTCGTCGATGTTAAGCCTAATGTAAACTTTTTAAAATAATAATCGTGGCTATTGTATCGTTAAAAATTATTTCTTTACTTTTTACAAACAAAATAAATATATTAAAAAATATAAAACAAAAAAATTATACTTTTGAAGTCAATCTAGTATCAAAAACGTTCGATTCAGCACAACACACAGTCCTCAGAAAAACACCACACAAAATAGCCAGTGCTGCCAGCTAAAACACACACATCAACAAAAAAAAAAAAAAAAATACTGGAGTAGCCCTAGATATAGCCAAAGATTGCAGCGCCAGGGCACTAGCGAAAATTTAAATTTGCAGACTGGAATTCTTTCGGATAACCGACTTTCGGATAAACGACGCTTTACTGTATTAATAAATTACATTAATTTTTTAAACTGTTTCTTAATAAATTTTATGAATTTATGGGCAATCCTTTATTAATGATTTCATTGCATAAAACTATTAATAAAGAATGTCCATAAATTACTGTAACGCTATTTTTTGGCTTTTCAAATACCACTTCACTTTTGGTTTTAATATTACAGAACAACCAACATCTAGGAAAATAGTAATAAACGCGTTATTATGGAGACAAGACTGACTTAACAACGCTTTAATCACGAGTGTATACTAGTTGTACCCTAAAATGAACAATAGTGACAAAAGTATCCAGTAAAAGTATCTGTTGCGTCAGTATGATGTTACAGAACAGCCCACATGCAGGGAGAAAGAACTAAATTGACGTTTATGCAGTAGCGTAGCACAATGGGAAAAATTAAATCTGTCTGTAAATTTTTATTACTCTTTCAATTATGTCCATTAGCATCCCTAGAAAATTTTCCAGGGGTGCGAAGCTTGGAGACAAATAATTACATCAATAAATTTTTATTTAATTATTTAATTATTTTTTGCGAGTAGATAAGAGTAGTAGATAATAAAGTAGATAAGAATACAGTATAGCATCAAAGCATTCTATCGTCCAGGGTATAAGGATGAATATCTCAATCACTTTTACGTTCATAATTTATGGAATGCTTTACTCGATTCCGGAGAGGGCAAGTGCCTCGCTTGTCCCTTAATGCGGACACTCTGACACTTTGTACTTGTTATTAAAATTTTATATGTAATAATTATATTTCCTTGCCGACTATATATAGTGTTTTTTTACTGTTTACGTAGTATTTAAGGAATTTTAAAAGTGACGTCATGATGACGTTTTACTCGATGTGTTCCTCGCCAGGAAAGCTTCCTGTAGGTCAGTAGTGTAGTATAGGGGGGCAGCAAAATTTGACAATAAATAATATCTTGTAAGAATTTGAACCATTTTATTTCATATTTTCGTCCACCTACGATTCGAACCGATTGAAATGAGCACAGAATAGTGGGAATAGTGTTACCATCCGACTCGCCGCGCCATCCGGGGATATCGTGCGCAACCTGTCGACCTTTTTTTTTTTTTTTTTTCTTTACTTGTACGATAATTCATACTCATATACACCTCCAATATCCAATAGAGCTAAGTCATCTAGATTACTTACGTTATTCCTACCCAAGTCTCTCTAGTCGCTAACTGTGACTGATTTAGAACCAGCATGCACTGCAAATTATTCTTCATTGCAAAATGATATATGCATGCGTCAGGAACTTCTATTCAAACAAACCTCACCTGCCGTCAGGGTCGGCGATTTTAAAAAGGTGGCAACACTAGCACGGAATTTTTCATTACGTATTCTGTGACGAAACTGAATTTTAGTCTTTTAAATTGAGATACCTAAATAAGGGGCGGCGAAATTTTTTTCCGCCCCGGGCGGCTGACATCCACGCTACGCCACTGCTGTAGGTCATTGTACTGTAACTTCGTCCCTGCGTTAACGACACCATTCGTAAACGTCCCTTTTTTTCGTCGACGGAATGTATGTAATGCATTTTTAAATACCAATGAATGCGCACATGTTTTATTAATAACGTCGGTATTAAACAAAACAAATATACGCGAGTACACAACCCGTTCCTAGTTTCTGAAAGGTTAGTCGTACGTGAATTGTTTTATACCAATCGATTTAGCGTGTGAAATTACATCTAAATCTACTTGTAAATATTAAGGCTAAGATCTTTCTTGGGCTTGAGTCTTTTTGCATACATCTAACTGAAAACTATTCATCCCAAATAAGCTCTTAACTACTTCACAACAAATGGATTGGTCCTGTACAATCGCGCCTTCATACGGCTTAAAAAAGAACATGAAAGGTCACTATGTGCGCGCACTGTAATTTATTTTTGCTATACACTGTTTACTTCCAAGATGAAAGGCATTAGGAATAAAATTATGTGGCAGATGTTAGTAATGTAACAAGTATGTATGTCAGTTTTTTAATATCACAGATCTTTTTATGAAATTTAAAATGTTTCAAAATTTAATGCTTACATATACATACTATTTCATGTATATATATATATATACAGTATAGATCATATATATGCATTGAATATAAAAGTAAACTTGTTTATAATCCGAAAAATGTAGAAATTTAAAAATTACTTGACGTCTTTATCTCATATTCTTATGAAATGTTATTAAATTATTTGTTTAAACAATTATATAAACTCGATTAAAATAAATTTTATAAATATAAATATATATTATATATATGATCGTGGTAATATTAATATGTATTTATAAACGATACTGTAATGTAGGCGTCATACATGCACACAAATATATGTTTAATATCAAGAGCATTTCTGAATTAACTTTCTATACTTCAAGGCTATTACAATAGATAAGAAATTGCTATTTTTATATTAGTATAACGAAAGCAGTTTTTTCATTTCTTTATTAATATATATGTATGTATAGTAATATATGGGCCAGGTGACTAATAAGTTAGGTCATTATTTGCAATGTCCAGTCGTTACGAATAATGAGTGAAACTCCCATACAGCCTGTTAAATATTGATTAATTTATTAATCACCATAAATTGAATACATATTATGAATATATTCCCTTCGAGAAACTTTATTTTTTAAAAAATCTTACCTTTTTTAATAAGAATTATACAAAGTATTTTAACAACACTCATATGCGTAATACAAGCATTAATACAGGTATATTAATTACATAAACTTTTTAATTTAATATTGATCAACAGACATTATACAATAATTAGAATGATTATTAAAATAAGTTTATTTTGGCAATGACTTTGTACTTAGCTTTCAATAAAATATGTGAAAATTTCACTTAGATTATACAAAGTATTTTAACAACACTCATATTATATGCGTTATACAAGCATTAATACACGTATATTAATTACGTAAATTCTTTAATATTGATCAACAGACATTATACAATGATTAGAATGATTACACAGGTCTACACATAAAAACGTTTTGTTTCCTTCGGAACAGCTTGTTTTGTTCCGCTTGTTTTGAAACCATCAGATAATAAGCTTGTTTTGTTTCCGAAGGAAACAAAACAAGCTTATTATCTGATGGTTTCTGTGAACATTTCATTACTGTTTCTTAATGATTTCGACTTGCTGAATTCAAAAATGATTATAAAAAACCAGAATTAGCTCAAGTTTACAAGGTACTGTACATCAACGTCCAATAAATTGCATAATATACATCTGAATACATACACATAATGTAATTTTTATTCGAGTTGGCACACAGAAACCATCAGAACACTTTTTGATACATAAAAACTAAATTAACAGCGAAAGCATGAAATACCCAGGACATCACTCGCGTGTATGACACTTATTTACAGATTTCTTGTATGAATCTGAAAGCGTTTCATATGTAATGTTCCAGCAGTAGTCTGCTAACATTGCTGGACTATTTCCCTTCGTATCACTTTTCCATACAAGCAATGTCTTGGTGAAAATACTTCCCATGTTTGTCACTGACAGACCTGCAGTTTTCAGGGAAAAGTGAATGTGAGGATGCAAAAAGTGCATCTGTGCATTTTCAATGACATGTTGCATCCCATCTTTTCATAACACAACAGCATGTTACAAATAATTTGTAATTTCTTGTTTGTAATTAGAAGCTTTGTAGTTTCCAAGAAAATTGTTTACCACCATCCTGAAAGCATTCTATTCTTTTCCAGCACTTATTAGAACGCTATCAAAGTGTGTATTTTTGAGAAGCTTGGAAATCTGTGAGCCTATAAATATCCCCTCTAACTTTTGCTTCACTAATGTTTGGAAATGTCTCTCTAAAAAACTAAATTCTGGGCCATTTCAATCCGTGGTTTTGACAAAGTTTTTCATAAGTCCTAATTTTATATGCAACGATGGTAGTATGATCAAACTGCATTTTACTAACAGTTCAGAAATAACATTTTTTGATCCAGGTTCGAGAGATTTCCTTTATGGTCAGATTCTCCTTTTGAAATGTGCTACTTGGTCTCTGCTATCCCTCTCACAGAGAAAACAACAGTACTTCGTATACCGCAGCTGAAGTCCAAGTAATAATGCTATAACTTTGAAATTACAACACACCTTCCATTTATATTCTGCAAGAAGTTGCTTCATGCTTTTGTATGATTCTTTCATGTACTTTGCATGGCCAATATGAATAGGAAGCTTTTGTTACACAACAGTAACATTTTAGCTTTACGGCTCACCTTGGAGGAGTCAATGAAGAGTCTCCATTCGCATTGTTTGTAGCATATATCGAGAGCTGGCATAAGAATGATTGTTTTCTTTTCTTTCCACAGACATGCAAGAAAATGTACTTTAAGCCGTATAGGAATACATTTCAAGAACTACAGAAAAATGACAATTTTTTCAAAAATTTGACATATTTGGTTCGAAATCGTAAAAACTAGAGCCAAGTTAACATTTTTAATGTCGTGTTCATATTCAGCACCCTTGAATTAGTAATATTCAGCTACTTTGGTTTCGGAAGCTTTTTGGCTGTTGACCAGTGTTATTAAAATAAGTTTGGCAATGACTTTGTACTTAGCTTTCAATAAAATATGTGAAAATTTCACTTAAAAACTGGATTATTTTTTAAAAGTATTATTAACGGTTTTAATTAAACTAATTTTGCCTGATGATCAATCCTCAAGATATCATTATCACCACTTTTTCCAACAGTCAATATGAATACTTCATTCATGTTGACTTATAATGTGATAACTTTATGCTAAAGAACGTGAAATTTATCACAGTGCTCTATTTTGTTCGTCATTATTTATAATGCACGGCCATTGTGGATGGTGTCCATATTAATCAGTTAGTTCATAACATATACACAAACTTTACTACACGAATCCGCATAGAACTGGAGAATGCTAACTGAATTTTGCGTGGGTTTACTTTCTCCAGTTTCTGCGTGTGTTCGTAAAACTCTATCGAAAATAACTTGCGCAATTTTAATGCGTAGAATATCCGATGATGATATTTTTCAACATCCTTTATCAAATGTATTCTTAAATGAATGAATTCAGTTTATTCTAGATCGTCGGGAGATGCTATCGAACATTGAAAAGTTCAAACATAAATAGTATTTTTAGAAAAGTTAAAAATGAAGTGTCAATGTCAACTACACCAATGCTGCTGCTTTAAAAACAGTAAAGATGCTTCGCTAGCATCGGGAATTTATACAACTGTAAGTCATTATTAAATTATTATTATTATATTAAATTTAAATTTATTTAGAAAACCACTTTTTATATATTTTAATTAATATTACTAAACTTTATAAGCATGTATATTTTATATCGTTTTTATTTATTTAAACAGTAAAAATTAAACTTCACTTTCTGATTTAATGACTGAAATTCCTTTTATCATCATTATTTTTCAAAGACATTTGAAATTTATTTGAAGTTAATTTAAATAAATCAAAGTATCAACCATTGTAGATTAAGCGTGTAACATTAAACAGAACGTGCTCAGCAAATAATTAACTTATCAGACTACACCTTTTTTTGCCGAGATAGTTTTATTGAAAAACTAACGTTTTCGGCCTACTCTATAGGACATCTCCTCAGGCTTAACGACAGAAAAAGAATATTGGCGTTCCATTTAACTACTACATTTATTTTTATTTATTATTTTCTATTACTACATCTGACTTTGTTTTTTATTGTATTTGTATTAGTTTTTCAGTTATTTTCTTGTTGTTTCCGTTATTATTTTTTGTATTTAAATTTATGTATTGTATTAAATGGAACGCCAATATTCTTTTTCTGTCGTTAAGCCTGAGGAGATGTCCTATAGAGTAGGCCGAAAACGTTAGTTTTTCAATAAAACTATCTCGGCAAAAAAAGGTGTAGTGTGATAAGTTAAGCAATTTTTGGCTATTTTAATATTTCAAAACCTATTTTTTTTTTTTTTTTGTTAAATACTCTTCTAATTCAATAAAGTTTTTTAAAACAATAGTCTTTATTATAATCGATTTTGGATGTCAGAAAACGATATAAATCACTTACATCTAATTATGAACTACAGGATAAAATAGTTTATATTACTCCTAATATAAAATAAATAACTTAGTAATAAAATAATTAATACTATAACATGTAATAGTAATACATTTTTAATCGTATTAAGTAGTAAACATAAAAACATTTCTTTAAGAAAATTTTGGTGAAATTTGGTGAAACTCTGGTGAAATTTCTCATGTTAATGTGCATAGATTTGAGCTTTCATTATTGTGGATAACATTGTGAATAAAGTCATTCGTATCCATTCAATTTTTTCCTGACAAGCGTTAAACTAAGCGATAAAAGTAAAATATCTTTATGGAGAACCCTCGTAAACGTTGACCTATCGACCCGAATGTTTCGCCAGAACTTTACTGATAACAATAAAAGCTTAAGTTTAAAATTTGCGCATTCTAGACCCGGTAGTTTTCCCCGAGGAGTGTCTGCAGTGCCGGTTGAAGAAGAGAAGGAAATACAGGTTTTTTGGCAATTTTTGCACTCTTCAATTGCTTATATTTTGGCAACCCCTTTATAGAAAAATCTGAAATTTTTGACACTACCTAAGAAAACAATTCTATTTCGAACGAGATATTTAGACTTACTATACGCGTTTGGGAGCGGAGAAATTGACCTTCGAAAATCGGCAACTCTGATTCCTAAATGTATAGTAAGTGTCTTTTTCACTAGGCGCAGAATCACTGCCGTGACTCTCGATTTAACTGTCTTTCAATAAAACATGAAATAAATTTTTTTAATAGATTAGGCCTACTTTAATTTTGCAAAAAATGCAGACTAGTACTAATCATTAAAAATTTGATGTACAGTACTTTGTGATTTAATTACGAATTTAACTACATAAGAACTTTCGATGCAAACCAGAAGTCATGTTATTTCAATTCAAAAATTTTCCCCTGTAAGGTGTTAGATGTTCGGCACGACTCCGTTGTTAAAGGGAAAGTATGATGTACCGTACATGGGACATGGGCACTACAATACTAAATTCAGGTAGAGAACATATATTTTAGATTAAATTAATTAATTAATATGATTAAAAATTGCAACCCGGCATTGTGACGATATCACAATAAAATAATTGCTCGTTTTCAGTGTAAGGATGGGTTTTATAAAAAATTGTAAATGCCAATAACGAGGAAAATCGTCATTAAGTCCCACCCTATTCGAGATATGACACTATCCACTTTATCTCCCCATCCCTCCTGCAAAATTTCTGAAATTTTTGACAAAAGGCAAAGGAGTTATTAAGCTTCAAAGAGGGTAAACAAAATAGTGCCCCCCACACACACACGCACACACACATTAACACCCACACGTACAAAAATAACTTTCGAATATTTTTGCATTTCTCGACGTTTTCAGGTCGAGTTCAAAAATGTAAAAATCTGGGGTGGATCATTTTTTTAGTTTTTACTTCTCTTGCTGTTTTCTGTTTTCTCTCTCTATATATATATTAAGTACTGTATGCATATATATTTATTATAGGTTGTGTCTGCAATCGGTTTAATTACTGTCATTGCCATTTGGTCTATCTCCGAATTTCATCCGTCTTCAAAATATTTTTGTAAGTGTTTTTAAATAAAATATATTACTATTTATAATATACAGTAGTTTACTTTCTTCATTTTAAGTCATCGAGAATTTTAATTTCATGTAATTGAAATAGTAAACAGATAATTGTTATGATTTTAGTTATTGCGGTGTACGCTTCATCTTTAACATTCTGTTTAATATTCCTTCTATTCAGTTTGCTTCTGGTGTACGCCGTGATTAAGGTAAGTGGAATACAGTAATACCTCGACTTACGCTACCCCGACTTACGCGAACCCGGAGTTACGCGATTTTCAAATCTCGTCGATTCGTCTTTTGTTTGAGCGCCACGCAACCCTAGATTACTCACTCCCCCCACACTATTGTTCAGCTTACATGTTCGGATGTGTCGCGCGGAATCGACACATAGCTACAATTTATTTTGTGTTATTTATTTCTGTGTTTGTTATATCTACGGAGACTTCAGAGACTCTATGCGGTGATTTCTTGTAACCGTGAACGAATCGAAAGACGAGATAAGATTAACGAGAACATTTATTAGCTTACATACATCCGACTTGGATTTTACACAAATTGCGAAATTATTCCCCGACTTACGCGAATTCGACTTACGCGGTTATCGCTCGGTCCCACCTATCGCGTAAGTTCGGGGTATTACTGTATTTAAAAGTAAAGTAAAAATAATATAAACTTTAAAATATTTTAATAATTTTCTAGAAAAAACGTTTGGCCTTAATACCATGGATAACTTGTTTGGTGATTTTAATGCTCTCTCAACTTACCGCAATTATTGTCTTTTTTGTATTGGAAATGTTGTATGGAGAATTTTCGGTGAGAATTTTAATTTTTAATTGTTACGTTTAAGATTTACTTTGAATTTTAAAAACTTTTATTTATTATTTAATAGAAAAGTGACAATAATGGAAAAGTTGATACTCTCCTTTAATACTCAAATAAACTTATAAAAATTATTATTTTAAAACTTAAAATTTTAAAATGTAATGACTAGTAAATTAAATTCAGTTTTGATGACTGAAGCAAAAGATGGTCAACTTGCTTTTTTGTTTGGCTTTTAACATTTTTTTTTTCTGTGGATACTAAGATAAGATGCTGTGTTTTTTCTACGACCATCGGGACAAAAAAATTGATCTATATATGGGTTTGATCAGGCCCAAAATCAAAATGGTTGACGGATAACAGCCGGGGTCTGATATATCCAGAACAGACCACCGAAGAAATGTTCCCGAAGCTCCCGATCCAAACTCGATCTCCCTCCGAGAGCGGGAAAGTTTCAGTTTGGATCAGGAACTTGCCACTTGGAGGGGTCCTAAATCGAGTCCGGGCTACGATTGTCTGAATTTTCCGCGAGTTCTGTTGATCCGGACACTTCAACTGAGGATGAGGTGGATTTTGCATTGTGACGCAACACTTGGGTGATCTGCCTAGGGGAATGCCTTCCGTAAGGTCTTTTTAAAGGTAACTGGTCCTATTNGACCACCGAAGAAATGTTCCCGAAGCTCCCGATCCAAACTCGATCTCCCTCCGAGAGCGGGAAAGTTTCAGTTTGGATCAGGAACTTGCCACTTGGAGGGGTCCTAAATCGAGTCCGGGCTACGATTGTCTGAATTTTCCGCGAGTTCTGTTGATCCGGACACTTCAACTGAGGATGAGGTGGATTTTGCATTGTGACGCAACACTTGGGTGATCTGCCTAGGGGAATGCCTTCCGTAAGGTCTTTTTAAAGGTAACTGGTCCTATTCAAGCGTTACAGACGTGGAAAAACTCGGAAAACTCCACGTCGCCAGCCCATCTTGGCGATGCTCGAACCCACACCGAACTCCCAGTGTTCAGAACAGAACCGTTTGGTCACTGATGGACTTCAATCGAGTATGAGGGGGGTTACCCGCTTGGGATTCTGCATTGTGTGAAGGTCTCTGAACTTAGTTGAAGTGACTGCAATTATCCCCGTGGATCTTTAGTTTGTCGAAATACGGGAGAGGTCATTCCACCTAATATTTATATTTAAAAAGGAAACTGTCTAGGAAGTCCGTGTTAGCTTTTCTTATTAATGGAAAATTTATCTTATTATTTCTAGGATTAAATATAAAATTTTAAATTTCTGATTAGATAATTTTACTACAATATATATTGCAGCTCCTTCTTATTTGTGCAGCTTTACTTCTGGCTACGCTAGGATTACATGTAAGTTGTTGCAACGCACGTAACATATACATTTTTACATTTATAAAATTTATTCACAAATAAATATACTAATATATTGATAGCTAGACACCAACGAAATGCCGAAATTCCATCGTGCTAGTTTAAGGCTAATTACTAAATAAATCAGTAGGTCTGGATAGCGTAAATGGCAACGCATTTGCACGATAAGCAAGAGTTATGGGTTCGAGTTTCGCTCGGGGCCGATTTTTTCTCCCAGCGGTTCTAAATTATTTAAATTAATTTATTAATGTTAATACGAGATGGCGCCTAACGTTTACCTCTAGAGCCAAATTGGTTATGTAATTAGCCGTAAGCTAGCCCGATGGAATTTCGGACATTTTGTTGATGTCTAGCTATATTATGTATCGAGTCTAGCGATGTTTGTAAATGTACTAATTTAATAATATAAATATATGAATATTTGATATTTTATATATAATTTTCAGATTGTATGTTTCCTTGTGGTTATAACATATTATCGATCATTGGAAGTGCCTCAACGTACTGAAGAATAAATAGAAAAGTTGTGAATTTGTAACTTTACAGTAACATTGTGAAAAAAATCTGTAAATTTATTTGTTAATATAAAATATTTTATAGTTTTTTCTGTGAATATTTTTATATGTCGATGCAATAGTCATTTTCAAAAAATTATGTAAACATTTTTTAAGTCACTGTATGTATATTATCATACGCAAGCACACACAAAAACCCACCCATACGTGGATATTTATAAAAATAATATGTATATTTAAAAAGTTTTTTTATTAATTAGCACTACTTAATGATGTATCTTTTCTTTGTTCATGAGTAAGGCTGACTTCCTAGGCGGCCGTCTATGCAGTGCCGTAACTAGCCATTCCTGTGTCCTGTGCGAGAATTTGCTTTTAGATCCCTTAATTAATTATGTTTGGGAAAATAATAAAACAAATACCTGCATTTTGGGCCCCCTTTCCAAGTGGGCCCTGTGCGGGTGCACCTGTTGCACCTGCTTAGTTACGGCACTGCGTCTAGGTTTACCTAATGTTAAAACTAGTCCTGATCACAGATATAGATAATGAATTACAGCAAACATATAACAGTTATATTTCTAGAAACACATAAATGATGAAAGCTTTTTAAGAATGCTAAAATTAATCAATAAAATTATTAAAACCAAACAAATACATAGAACTATGCCCGACGAAAATTTGGCTTCATTTCTAGGAAGAATATACAGTATTTACAATATTAAATTTTTGTTAAATTGAATATTTTCTACATATTAGTTAATAATTTTTCTCGATTTTTACTTAATATATGTGAATAGTTAAATTCTATTGTAGTTCTTATAAGAAATATTATAGTTCTGTAAATATTTTCACAGGACTGCAGTGGCGTACCGTGACATTTGATGATAGGGAAGTTGTGTTTCTGTAAGAAGCCGACTTCCAGAGCAATCAGTTAATTCTCTAAATATATTTTTAATAGATTATCTGACGTACTTAATAAATAAACAAGTTCAATATAATTACCTCTGTTATTAGATCCAACAGATTCCCTATGCCTTCTAAATGCCAATTCTTGGTTTGATAAAAACATATAACATCTATTAATTTAGATATAATATAGTATATCTATCAGCCGTAACTATTTCGTTATATTTTTCAATATTTATTTTATATTATTTACTAATGTTAAATTCTATTCCACTTCGATTTCCAAATTGCTTCAAATACGAAAGAATCGACGATTTTTCGTGTCTTTTGCCAGCTAAATTGTCAAAGCCATTCTTATTCCACTACAGTAATTCCATTTGAAAATAGTAGGCAAGCCAACAAAACAATTTTTGCATTTTTATGCATCCACAGAGCCATTTTATCGTGAAATTGTCGAACAAATTTTTTATTGAAGTGTTTATTATATTTAACTTAGACATTGGCCTTTTTCTTTTAATAATGTTTTCTTTTTCATTATATGATTTCGAGCCAAAACTTTTTTAAAATAAATTTTCAATATCGCAATTACATTCTGAATCGCTACCCACAATATAAGGGCTAAAATTAAAAATAAAATTATAAAAACTTACTCAGTGAAATAAAATATGTGGTGGATATACGTACCTGGTACAAAATATTCTTCAATTGTATGAATATACTTTTAAAAAAATTATAATTAAATATAGCTTTGTAAAGAAACGTACATAAAAATAACATAAAACATTCTTTACTCTTTAAATCTTAACCACTTAGTCAAATAGCTCCCTACGAATGGAATCAGAGACGATCTTGATAGGAGTGCAGTGCGTGCATGCATGCCAAATCCCGAGAGTGCCTATACCGGTTAATGTCAAATGCCTCTTTTGTCGCATCACTATATATCTCAAAGGATGCGACAGGGTTGTTGTAAATTTTAAACGTTTCTCACCATAGTTGTAAAAATCTAAATATGTTAAACTTATAGATTGTCCGTCATTTGTTTTCTAACTAATTCGTTTTAGGACCAGGTGTTGACCACGGAAATTTCCAAAATTTACAACTTTTCGGTCACTCTCGTTGAACTGGAAAAATGTCTGTCTTTATTATGTCTAATATTTTGAAGAAATCAGTCCCCACTGTACTCGGCTATAGATAGGTTCGGTTAAGCTTTTATGTAAAATTTCGGCTCTTTCATCAGGGTTTTGTTTATGTCCCCAATTCCCTAATCGCTTAATTATTTAACTACTTCTTAAGTAGAAATAAGTCGAAACTGATTACTGTAAGGTCTCGTTTTATGCGGTGGATACGTTCTACAGAAAAGTGCATATAAAAAATTCGCATAAAAAAAGACTTTACTTGCCTTGAAAAAGTAGGGATACGTTCCGTAATTTTCTAAAATCGCATAAAACCAAAACAACGAGTTAAAATTAACTTAAAACCGCATAAAAAGTTTGCAGAAATTAAAAGAAATAGGCTGCTTAATAAATTTCTTCGAATGTCTGAAAAAATTCATATAAAAGCTTAAAATAAACTCGTATTCAAACTTAATTCAGTTTATTTTATCAAAAAGTAATACAAGGGCAATCCCCGAATTGCAAAAGCTCACTCTAAAAAAAAATCACTGACATCTGGATGTGAAGGGTTAATTAAAAACCCCTCTAGTTCTTCGCCCCCTTACATAAAACACGGTCCTTAAACTATTTTTGAAATTTTTTTTGAATTTTTGGAATGTTAAGTCTCCAAATTTTTAAAAAATATTTAAAAATATACGGCCAGCTACAGTTCACCCTACTTTAAATCCTTGTCCTCCCGCGACGTCTATGAGAATGCCCCGGGTAATCCAACTCCAGCTATTTTCAAGGTCATCCAGATGTGTAACAATGACTCATCTGTGTTAGATTTCACAGAAAGGCGTGACAAAGGAAGTTAAACTTTGAAGCTTCTTCTTCAAAATTAACGCATTTCTTTCGTTTTTTTCAGTTTTAAGTATTTTTTATGTTTAATTACATTTATATCAAAAATTGCTAGGAACTAAAGCGATTAAGGTAGATCTAGCTGTCCTTTACATCCGTAAACGTTATATGTCAGCAGAACAAATGGAGTGAGCTTTGAGCGTTCCACGATTTTTGGAGACTGTCTATACGCGGGCTTCCTAAACAAGCCTATATGTATGTTTGTCCAAGAAATTTTTGGATGAAATACAAACCGCACAACTTCAAAATCGCATAAAAATAATCCGCATAAAAAGAGACTGTGGCCGCCAGCGCCAGAGATCCTGAACACTGTCTGGCAACACTTGCCAAGATCACGAACTCTGTCTGGCAACACTTGCCAACAAGAGTGGCTGGCAACGTCAAAAAAGAAAAGGCGCAAAAGTTCGTTGGATTTTGTCCGGGTGTCGCCCGAGGATGTCTGTGACAGTTCTAACCTTTTCTAATAAAGTTCTTTTTTGTTACTGTTCGTGTTTGCCTGCTTAATGTTAGATCTAAACATCAGTAGGATTGAATGACAAAAGACCTTACAGTACTTTGTACTCGAATATTTGTAGTCTTCGGAAAAAAGTGGAAAGACAAATTTTTATGACAATGGATACATAAATCGTAAATTTAAGGAAAATAAATTCTAGAGCTTTTTCTGTACCTCGTGCATCTCTCTCATTCATTAAATTTAGTTATAAATGATGCTACCAAATTTTTTAACATTATACAAGAATTGTACACGTTTTTTCTACATCCCCTTAAAGATGGGATATACGAAATCGCAATATCACTGGTTTAACATTGAAATCCGCGAGTAATATAAAACCAGAGAGCGGAATAAAAATATCAAATATTTTAATGGATTTTTTTAAACTCCTGTCAACTATATAGAACTATTTTTTTAAACTCTTTCCGCCCTGTGGGCACTAAGAGGGCCTCTTCTTGCAGGTCCATTGTGGGTTCTGCCAGGCCCACAATGGGGCTGCCGGGTGGTGAGGGACGGGGCCCGACATATCCGAACGGACCACCCCCGAAAAATTCCTGGGGATTTTTCGATCCGTTCGGATTCGAGCCCGGGTCCCCCAGAGCGGTAGGTTGCCACCTTGACCGCTCGGCCATCCGGCTGCAATATACAGAACTATCATAAAAACATACCAGTAAATTCTTATCGGTTGGGTTAAGTTATAAATGTGCTCGCGATTCACGTAATCGGGCGAGGGAGGTCAAATATCTAGCAGGCGAGCGGCTAACAGTCCAGAACCGGTCCTGGATAGAATTGGATGCGGTATACGTGTAGCATCCACCCGAGGTCCTAGGCTTCCACCGGCTAAACCGGGTGAGGTTGAAGGGCGCGAATCTGGCATTTTGGATGATGAAAATACAGCGCTTCCACTCCGCCACTAATATTCGAATATACAATAGCAATCTTTTTTTTTCACGTGTAGTATAGAAATTTGTAATAAGATACATAATGCGGTTAAAATAAAATATTGTGCGATTATTTTCATATTAAAATTAATGTGTATTTATTTTTTAGAAAATGCAAGGGAAGCGGCGCATCCACCGCTTCCAATGACGGCACGCCACTGCAGGACTGAAAATTTTAAAATAAATTTTCGAATAAAAAGGCTTGTAGAGGTTTACTAAAAATCTCTTTCCATCTTGTAGGCAGTAAGAAGATCATTTTCGCAGAGTTTTTTTTTTTTTTTTTAACTATTTCCGCCCTGTGGGCACTAAGAGTGTCTCTTTTAGCAAGCCCATTATGGGTTCGGTTAGGCCCACAGTGGGCGTCCGGGTGGTGAGAGATAGGGCCCGACATATCCGGACGGACCACTTTCCGAAAAATTATCAAAATGGCAAAAATTCATGGAAGATGTTGTTCGGCTGTCAATTGTCATAATTGTAAACGGAAAAATTCTGATAAAAGATTTTTTTTAGCTTTCCTCGTGACTCAGAAAGGTAATTTTTATATTTTTTGACTGTGATATTAAGTTAATAACTGTAGCTTAGAATATTAATTAAACTATGTCAAGAATTAAATACTCCAATTAACTTAAACTCAATACTTTACAAGAAAATCCAAGCTAAGCAAAAAATACAAGCTGATCATTTTCATACCGAGCTTCCATGAACCCGGGTCCCCTTGACTAGGATCCGGTCAGTCACTACCATGTGGGGGCCACGCAGATCATCCCTAGAAATTTCTGACAATCCAATTAAAATTCGAATTCTTTAGATACCAGACTTGACGGTCAGATAGAGGTAGTAAAGATATCAGTCTGCCGTTCTGGGATGTAAACTCGGGTTCGGGTTTGGGTCGGGAGCATCAGAAATTTTTCTACGCGAGACTATCCTGAATACGTCTGGCTCCGTTTTTCACTACCCGTCACCCCCATTGCGAGCCTAGCCAATCTACAGTGGATATGATTAAAATGATTTAAAAAGACTTTAGTTTTTACAGGGTCGAAAGAGTCAACAACAACAACAAAAAAACAAAAATATAGTTTTTTGGCGCGTTTCAATTCATAAATCTAGTTTTACTTTGTAAACTTTCTCAATATTTTTATTTAAATAAAATCCAATTAAATATTTTAGTTTAAAATATTGTTAACTTAACGAGGTGAATAATTTATATTAATTTTTATGAATATAAATAATGATTAAAGTTTCAAAATAGCAGAGGGCGATCACATCGAAAATTTCCAAAATGGCGGGCGGAGACGTGGTTTTATCACAGGGACAGCCGCAACTAAAAAAACAAGATCTGAGCAAATTAGTAAGACAATATTAAGTTAAAATATTTCGTCTTATTTTTTTTGGCTTTGAAAGATATTATATATTTATAGATTTCACGTATAAAATATATAAATATATTTTTTTTGTTATTACACATGATGAAATTTCTTCACACGTTACATTAAATGAATTAGAAAACATTTTATAATTTAATTTCGATAATAATTACCGTTTATGTTATTAGTCTTCAATATTCCAACTTTAGGATTATTAATTAGAATTTTTCCAGATAATTTGCAAAGTCATACATTTTAAAGTATGATCCATCTGTTGTAAAGTTTAGATTTTTGATGTTACAAAGTTATTGAAGAAAGAATTTGTTGAGGAAGCATTTCCTTCTAAAATTACTAGAGTTTTAAGATATTTTGAATATATTTAATGAATAACAGGTTTTGTTTGTCTGAAATTAATCATATTTAATATAATGTGATTGATTTCGGGATGAAATACTCTTTTAATGAAAAACAAGTACAATAAGCTCCAAAAATTACATACAAAGTTTCATGCATCATTGTTGATTAATTAATGAAGATTTTATCACATTTGTTATCTAGGACACATTCTATGATTTCAAAAATAAGTTTAAGTTTATTTTATGAAGATATACATGGCATAAGCTATTTATGGTACAGCATTTTCCATAAGACCTCTGGTTGTCTATTGGACTTTACACAATCTGACCTCAGAATTCAAGACTATCTTTTGAAGCAATTGGGTGATATTACATGGAGCCAGAGCTAAAATATTTGGTGAAAAAACTTTTAGTGTGTCTGTTATATCCTGCTTTAATTAATTTCAAATTTGGCTTGAAAGGTTCTTCTGAAATGTTTTGGGCTTTCTGTTACTCATTCATATTCCTTAATAATGAAATGAATTCTGCTGTTCTAAAGTGTATTTTGCTATTTTTTTGATGATAACATATTATATGTAAATTGTCTGTAACAAAATAACATAAGATTAGGAGTGCAACAGAGAATGCTTTATTATATTATATTGTATAATGATTCTTTTGAAATAGGAACTTCAACTTAGCAAGTAATTTTTGGATTATCTTATAAAATACAAATTTAAAATATAGGAACTGTTCTACTTTCAGCACCGGGGTGAAATCAATGTTACGCTATCTGGAACCTGTGACCGGTGCTCTATGCGTATATATTGTATATCGCTTGACAAACGTTTTCGAGCGATCTGTCCGCTCTTCTTCAGGTCGACTGAAAATTCCCTGGACGGAGTGTATATTATTTGTTGAGATCGGGTGTCGGTTCCGACTGGGCGGGTCGTTTCTGGCATGCGCGGTTGTGTGGTGGGGAGGAAACGGTGGGTTGGCGTCTAACAGCGATTGCCAGGCCAGAGACAGGGTTAGCTCTTCCTTCCTGTTAACACAGGTGATTAGCTGGCCGACGTTGTAGATAGCCGCGGCTTCCAGCCACCTGAGATGCTGTTGGTGGGGTGTGTTGATGATGATAGTAGCCTTCTCGAGTTGCGCTTCGATTTCAGGATCCAACGCATATGTGGCCAGGGCTGTGGTTAGCCTCCTGTGTCGGATATCCGCTTGGTGTTTACACAGGCGGGTGCACAAGGGACGTTTGGTCGAGCTGATGTATAGTAGGTCCGAGTTCTGTCCAACTCAACCAAATGTCCCTGTGCACCTGCCTGCATAAACACCAAGCAGATATCCGACACAGGAGGCTAACCACAGCCCTGGCCACATATGCGTTGGATCTCGAAATCGAAGCGCAACTCGAGAAGGCTACTATCATCATCAACACGCCCCACCAACAGCATCTCAGGTGGCTGGAAGCCGCGGCTATCTACAACGCCGGCCAGCTAACCACCTGTGTTAACAGGAAGGAAGAGCTAACCCTGTCTCTGGCCTGGCAATCGCTGTTAGACGCCAACCCACCGTTTCCTCCCCACCACACAACCGCGCATGCCAGAAACGACCCGCCCAGTCGGAACCGACACCCGATCTCAACAAATAATATACACTCCGTCCGGGGAATTTTCAGTTGACCTGAAGAAGAGCGGACAGATCGCTCGAAAACGTTTGTCAAGCGATATACAATATATACGCGTAGAGCACCGGTCACAGGTTCCAGATAGTGTAACGTTGATTTAAATACAAATTTATTTGTTTTTGAATCATTGCACAATAATATTTCAAAAATGTGCAAGAAAGCCATTTACATTTTTGTAAAATTATAATGGTAATGTAAACAAAATGCTCTAATTTTTGGTTGCACAATCGTAAAATGATCCGTATTTAAAATTTTCATGTGTACGTATGTGGGAAAAAAGGCAAGAAACACTAACTTTTCACAGTTAACATCAACAACTTTAATTTAGCATTAATACATTTTGGTGTGCTTGCATCTATGTCTTTTTCCAATCATGTCAATGTTGCCAAATACAAAAAAGAAAGAAATAAATAAAAATAAGTATTACCAGACTCAACATTATATTAATACAGTATATGTAATGTAGAATTATATTTTATGTCAAAACTACTTTCTGATCATTAAATAAATCTTTAGAATAGTTGAATAAATTCAAATAATAATTCTCAGAGCTTTATTGCATTAGTTTTTAAATTACAGTATATCAAAAGAATTTGTAGTTTATAGTTCTTAAATTAAAATTATGTTCATAAACTATCAATCAACAATCTATTTTTAACAACTCTTAAAAGTTTCAACTTATGAAAACTTTGAATAATTTACTCTTAGCAGATTTTATAATTTAACAGGTGTTTTAATAAATATTAATAAAATTTCTGACAATAATAATTTGATAATTTTCTTCAAAATCAGTGTAAATATATTGCTGATATTTACACTAGATTTATTCATATAATAATAAAATTGTGTTTTTAATTAATTGATTCAGTAATTTGAATCTCTGTATCTACATTACATTCCTCATATTCTTTGTTATAACAAAGTAGCATTTATTATTATATATCATTGCTGATATTGGTTGGATTAAGAACATTTTTTCTAATGGATTAATTAGTGTATATTATGGTTTTTAGAAAGTAGCAATCTGTTATTATATATATTCTAAACTCTATGTAAGAACAACAAAATCAATAAAATATATTACTTTCCTGGCTGTTATAACAGAGAGATTCAGATCTGGCAGAAAATGACACCCCAGATTTTTACATTTTTAAACTTGAACACCTTGAAATGTTGAGAAATGCAAAAAATTCAATGGTAATTTTTATATATGTGGATGCTTATGTGGGGAAGCACAATTTTGTTCATCCTGTTTGAAGATTAATAAATCCTGTGCTTCTTGTTGAAAATTTCTGATTTTTTTGCATGGAGGTTTGTTTATTAGGGGATTGATGCTATTAAATTTTGGTTGTTAAAGGTTGAGGGGGTGGGAAGATAATGAGGTCGTGTGTATCTCCAGTAGGGTCAGACTTATAATGATTTTACTGGTTTTTGGCATTCACAATTTTTTTTTTTTTTTATAAAACCCATCTCTATCCTCAAAATTAAGCTTTTTGCCATTTTATAATAGTTAAAATTTAAAAATATTTTAAATAAAATATCATAACAGATGGTGTCACCAAAATTTTAAATATTGCTGGGAAAGTTGAACTCATTGCTGGTTTATTTTATTAGTTGAAGAAATTAGTGAATTTTATTAATATGAATTTTAAAATATTTATTATTGATATTTAATGCCAATAATAATTTCCTTTATTTTCATTTCCATTTTGGAATGTTTTCTGTAGCAAATCCCTCTCTGTACATGAATATTTTGGTTTCAATAAGTACAGTACATATTAATTTTTCTTGGAATCAATAAATTAATAAGAAAAAATAGAGAACACTATACTAGAGTTTGTATTAATAGTAAACCATGTTACTGGTAATCATTAAAAATCTATCTGTAAATATACCACTAATTTAATTTTTTTATTAGTAAATTGGATAAAAATAGGTAGACATATAATAATTTTTTTCAAGCCAAATGTTTATTTATGTACACTTTCATGTATATTTACATTTTTGTATATTAAGGATATTGAAGGGTCAGATATTTTTATTTAAACTGTAAAAACATTTACATTATTTGTCTTTTAAATTATTATAGTTCTTTAGTTAAATTGTTTTAAAATATCATATTACAGTACTATACTGGAGAGTTTAGCAATTTGTTTCTTTACTGTATCACCTATAACTCATTAGCAGTTTCAGTTGTAACATATAGAGCAACCTCTTTAGTTGCCAGTGTGTGTGTTCACATTTATTTGAATGTGAGCATTCGTACTGGTTACTTTTTAATCCCTCAACTTAAAAATTACAGCATGCTTTTTTTTCAGGCACAAAACTGTTACCTTTCAGAATAGAATAAAGGGAGTTCAACTGGACATAATTTACTAATGATTGGTTAAGTGTTGACTTACTGAAAAGACAGCAATATTTAGAAAATTGACTTTTTTACTGGTAATAAAAAATGCCAGTAAATTTGTACTGTACATGTTTCTTTATGTAAATGGTCTTTTGCTTGACTATACTAAATTATGCACTGAATACAATTATAAAACTTTTAACATAATTGAAATGAATATAATTAGTTAAATTTAATAGAATGAATTTTGTTAATTGAGTAATTTAGTAAATAAATAATACAAATCTTGTTCCCTGAGATGATACTGATTTTTAGTGGCTAAATAAAACATTAAATTGAGTAACTTGATGAGTGAATTTGAAATTTTTAAACCCTATAATTCTATTATTAAAATTATATCAAAGTTTGGAATAATTTGAACTTTAGAAAGTCTTTTGTTTACTTTTTGTTTGTTTACTTTTTTATGTTTTGTCTTGCTTTATGTTCCTATGCATATTCATATTGCAATTTATAATAATTCTTTACACAAATAATACAATGTTTAGTCAAAAGTGTGTGTAAACAACTATCTGTTTTTCAGCAGCATTAAAAATATGTGTTAAAATAGATTATCTACATCAAACTTAGTCATAAAAATTTATAAAATATGGTGCCATGTTTATTTGGTAAAGGAGAAATAAGGTACTGATAAATTTTTTACAAACCAAATGTTCTCATTTAACTGAAACATTTCAGTTCAGTAAGATCACAGTTCAAACATAAATGCATGTAGTTTCCAATAAATCTAGCAGTAACTTCTCCTTTTATCAAAATTAAATTTTTCTTTATAATCTGATTACGAGAATACAAATGTGCAGAAGTTAGTGCTGCTTAACGTCATGATTGTTATAATGTGGATTTTCATTGTCTATTATTGAATTATGGTTGATAATAGATATTTTTATTTTAAATATAATTTAAAATGAATTTTTTTTTTACAGAAAGTAGGTGAATTATCTCCTCTTACACCAGAAGTTATAAGTCGACAAGCAACAATTAATATTGGTGAGTTAGAAAAAATATATTTTTAATTGAATAGATGTATAAATTAAAAATATTTATAGATGATGGCATTATTAAATCATTAATGTATTAAAGGAATTTTATAAATACAGTGGTACCTTATACTTCGAATGCTTCAGAGTTCAAACATTGGTGCATAATGAAAAATACACTCAAGAGTAAAATAAGCTTCTGAACAAAGAATATAATTTCAAATTAGAATAATGTGTTAATATTCACAACTGTTATAATGAAATCACATATTTATATCAAGTAAGAACAGCTGTTAAAAATACACAAAAACTGTCTGTTTAACCCAATATCACCTTTACTTATTAATCACAGTATTCAAGAAGTGTGTGGAAGCAACAAAGTCTAACTAGTAAGAGGAAGACTTGAAAAAGTCTAAGATAAAAAAGCAACTTTATCATGAAGCATGAAAGTGATACACATGTTGCAAATCTGGTGGCCATGTTTAAGATGTCAGTCAATGGTGTGCAACCAGTAAATGCAATTTTTATTATATTATACATTATTTATTTATTTTATTTATTATTTTAATTTATTATTAGAGCATTTAATTGTGTTATTTCTACCTTAAAATATGTGTATTTGCTTGGTATATGTTATCAAAATGGGTATTGTTTAGGATCTGGAAATGGATTAATTGCTTTCCATTATTTCTAATGGGGAAAATCACTTTGGACTTTGAACAAATTGGAGTTCAAGTGGCTCCTGGAATGAATTAAATTTGAAGTATGAGGCATTACTGTATTAAATTTAATATTTATAAGTAAGGCCTTGAATTTTATGAATTTATGATCACAAAATTGTGCATATATTTATGCACTTTAAATGCCCAACATATGCATTTAGATATGCATTTTTAAATTGTGACTTAAGAATACCAATGAACATTGAAATGAAAACTTAAATCATTTATTGATACTAAACATAATTTCTGAACAGTTAATAGTTGCAGTTACACTACATACATTTTCAAATTGAACCTTTTTTGCCTTTTATCAGAAAATACAGATTTATATCTAGAGAAACTTCTTTCCATGCAAATTGATGTAATTGTTGCAAGTTTAAAACATGTTAATTATTTGATTGTTTAGTCAGTTTTTAGATCAAAAATATAACGTCCATTTCCTTTAGAATGATGGATATTGATTGCTGTAAATTGAACCTCCTGCAGCTTTTTGAACAACCTTTCAGATAGACTACTTTTGTTTTTTTGTAATGTATTACATTCTTTGTCCATTTTTGCTCAATGGAAGATATTACAGTTTCAAACTAATAATTAAATGGTCTAGTGCAGTGGTTTCCAAAGTGGTTCACCCCTGAGTGCAGTGAGTAAACCTAACGGAATGATAAGAAGCAAGGTGGTAGCAGGGGGTGCTGGAGTCTGGTTCTGACTGAATTGTCCCTTTCACCCATTAAAACAGTTAAGAAGAAAAATTGCATTTAATGGTTTCCAGATATGGAGAACAATGTATGAAAAGGATGCAAAATGTGAGGTTTATAGAAAAGTTTTTATTAAGAATATTTTTATGTTTTTTTCACACAAGGATAAATGGGTTAGGTCATTAGGTATAAGTTTATGGAACCAAGGGATGGTGGCTCAAAACAGTTTGGGAATCACTGGTCTAGTGGCAGCTGACAGTTCTGCAAGATGTTCTTGGATTAATGAATTTGAAAATTTATCTTTTGCAATTGCAATAGCTGCTGCTTCCTCAAAATCTATTTTACTGTCTTGAAATGGTCCATATAAATGGTAGCTTCTATCCATGTTCCCCAGTGAGTAATAACTGGCTTGGGAGGCAATCTAAGATCAGGTTCACATTCTTTAAAAGTTTAATTCAAGCTGGACATTTAGTGAATGCTTTCTTTATGTTTCAAGCTGGCTTCTTCAGCAATTTGATGAAGGCATGGACCAGACATGTAGAAGGTATCATTTTCAGTTAGAGCACCTACAATCCTTTGCATGCCTTAACCATAAAGTGCATACCATAAGTCAAAAACAAAAGGATAGAATCATACTTTATTCTTCTGGTCAAAGAATTTCTAGGGTATTTTCAAATAAATTGCTATTGTCATGTGATTGGTCAAATCCATTTGGAACATAGAAGAAAAGTCATACTAAACACATCTTTTTCCTATGATCCTATGACTATATTACCTACAGTTCAGAACATTGAGTCTTGACTTTCATCAATAGATATCCAGATGTACTTGTCAGTCATAGCTGCTCTTATTTGACTTGACATGTCTTCATAACATTTTAATAGATAAGATTTCCTAATTGTTGATTCATCATGTATGTTTTTTGGGTGTATTTTCCCAGAAGTTGACAGAACACAGGATTATTCAATTTGTAAAAGGGATGTCTGCTACCGAAAAACATTTATTAAGTCTAAAGTAAATTGGAATTGCTTTCTTGTAGTTATGGTTAATGAATTCTTTTCAGTGGGAAGTAGATTTTGCTTGAAGGATTTATTCAGAGTATCAATGGGCTGCAGGATCTGAAACTTTGTGCATTTATAGTTTTTCCACATGGTTGACATAACAAAATACTGTCATTGGTGCTAAAAATTTGATCTTCAAATTCAGTTGCAAACTTTTTAGTCAAACATTCCTGGATGCCTTTACTTTTCCTATTGTTACCAGCTGTAATCAAACCAAATGCATCAATTTTTATAGTTTTAGGACCACAAAAATTTAAAATTTTTAAATGAGATTGGCTGGAAACATTCCAAAAATAGTGGTTCTGGGAGAGGTGATGATTTACTATATATATATATTAATTTAGATATAATCATACTTATTACTTATGGCATTGACTGGGACTTTGGGTTGATTCTTTTCTTCCAGAACTTTCCAAATTAATTATTAATTATTATTTAATTATGGATATTAAAATTATTAAGAGATTATATTTATTTAAATATGAAAAATCTTATTCAGTTTGAGTCTAATAGAATCAGCCTTAAGAGGATAGTTTTAAACTATCAGAAGTGCTTCCAACTTTGAATAAAATGTTGGTTTTAATGTTGCAAGACAGTACATTACTTTTTAACAGTATACTAGATAACTATTAATATTAAAAGATAGTTTTTGAAATACATCTTTGAATATATTATGCATAAGATGCTTAAATATAAAATGTATACAGTGGTACCTCAGGATATGAACGCCCCAGGATACAAAATTTTCAGGATACGACATGAAATTCAAACATATTTTTGCTCCACGATAAGAACAAAAACTCACCATACAATGTTACATTAGTTTGCAGCGCCATTTTTTATTTACTTCTGTTCATTGGTCTCAGTCGGCATGTTTGCTTCGTCATGGAAGGATCTCACTCGATAAAGGAAATCTTGAGGTATTATCAGAAAGTGACTGATTTTATTGAAAAGAAACATCCGGAAAAGGTTTACATTGGCCATATTGCTGCTCGGAGTAATGACATTTGCCTAAGTCATTTTAGAAACATTTTAAAAAGTAGACAAAGCCAAACCTCTTTGGATAGATATTTTACCAAGCAACCTCTATCCAGTGAAAATGCTAGTGGAAGTGAAGGAAAGAAAGCAAAAAGCAGTGAATAAAAATTTAAAAAAATATATATAAAACAACACTAATTTTTTTTATCTTTTCTAAGTTATTTTTAAGTTATTGTTACATTATGTTATGTAAGTTAAGTTTTAGTATCATTTCCCTTCTCCCTCTCTTCCGCCACCAGTTTACACCTCCACCGTCGTCTATCCTCAAAGGTAAAGTGCAAATAAAACTACATTTTTTTTCATCAATTATTATTCTATTATGGTTATTTATACATTTACAACTACAAAATGCATTTTTTAGTGTTTTCCTTACTATTGTTATTTATTTATTTATTTTTAATGTACTACTTAGCTTTAATTTGAGTGTATTTTTTGTGTTGGAACAAATTATTTGGTTTTACATGTAATCGTATGGGAAAAAATGATTCATCTTACGACATTTTCGTGATACGATCTCAGTTTCAGAATGGATTAATTTCATATCCTGAGGTACCACTGTATTTATATATAGACTGTTCTATATGTATGTATGTATGTATGTATGTATTAGAACAGTCTAAAGTAGCAGTTGCCAACCAGAAAATTTTGGTGGTCTGTGGAGAAATTTGGACATTGATCAACTCAAGATTATGTGAAGTATTATGGAGAAATGTAAAATGCTTGATTGCTTTTTCTCACTCATTGGGGTTTTTTAATTTGAATCTAAAATCAAACACAAAATGACTGTTATCAGTAAATAATAATGTAAATAAATCAATAAATAATGTTTTGAGTGCAATAGTTGTCCTTTGTGAAAAAAGAGCCAAGAACCCATAAACTTATTTCAAATGAGCAACAACAAACTTCACATTAATTTGTTATAATTAAACAAGTGAATTTCATATTAATAAAGTAAAATAAAGTTGAACTTTTATGATCATTATTCTATAGATGTTTGTATTGTTTAAAACAAATTTATGATAGTGGTCTGCGGAATTTAAAATTGTGATTTTACTGATTTGTGAGATCAAATAGATTGGTAACTCCTGGTCTAAAGAATAGACTGCTTTATTTGGAGAATTTTTTATATAAACACATTCAGAACCATTCACTTTTGGAGTGAAGCACTGCCTACTAATACCATATATCTTTTTACTTAGTGTGCAAAAATACAACGAAAATAGAATATCAGTGGGTAATAATATATTAGTGGTATTTTCCTTCATTTTTTGTTTTTTTACAATATTTTTTTCACAAATTATTAGAATATCTTCTAGTCTTTTTTTTACATTTTATTCATGTCATCTTTAGTTAAATTTTACTTCACTATAGTAATGAGACTAATCACAGACTAAAAATATATGAAAACAGCATCAGTAAATGCTATTTCCTGCATTTATATTGCATACAAAAATTTCAAGAACATGATCAGATTTTTTTTTTTGTAAATTTTTGTCCGAATGGCAATTATTAAGTTTCTGAAGACAAAATCTGTCCAAAAAGGAATCACCGTTTATTTATCTCATGTTCCAGACTACACATTTATTTCATCGTCACCAGGGGGCAGCGTTTTTAAAACTACATTTTCCAGCACTCATTTCCAGTAGATAAAAACCGTAACACTCCAAAAAGGTATGGATGGAAGAAAGAAAGAAGTCTGTATGTCACCAGTTCCTTTTTTAGACATTCTTGTAATTTTAATTGGATGTATTTTTTGTGTTTTTAAAAGGACTTTTTTAACTTCTGGCGGCCAGTAGCCTAAAAAGAAAGGTCAGTCGCCAAGAAAGTGTGTAGTCTGGAACACGAGATAAATAAATGGTGGTTCCTTTTTGGACAGACTTTGTCTTCAGAAATGATCAGTTTTATTATGCTGTAACTCATCCCTATCTATTCATTATTTTAAAAATTATTTTTTTGTATGTTTTTTTGATGAAATATTTTAATTCAAATTATCTTTTTGTATTTTTAAAAATTTATTTTGTAGTGATAAGCTGGAAATAATTCATGCCCTAGTAAATGAATAATGTGCTATAAATTATCTTGATTCTTGTGTTTGTCATCTTTCATTCAACAGATCATTTCTAGAATGTGTAATTCCGTTATTTTTTAACATCATAGAAATTGGTAATGGTGAATTACTAGTATATAAACACATCATTCATAACAATGCAATTATTTTTATTTGCAAAAGACTTTTCCTGGAATCAACAGTAAAAGTAACATTTATGATGTTAACTCATCTTTTGAAATTCTCATACAAATAATTGGAACAAAATTGTCTTAAAAGGGATAAATTGGAATAAAGTAACTGAGACAAAAAAACTGGCACACACAAACTGGAACTATATAGTAAACAAACAAATTCACACCTAAATGCTAATTCCAGAAGACAGCCAAAAACGTATGAACATTAAAGTTTATTTGTTCATTTACTGCTGGAATTAGCTTTTAGGTGTGAATTTGTATAAAGTAACTGTTGTGTTGGTTAAAAACATCATCAAAACAAAGTTAAAATGATAGTAGAAACAAACAAAAGTCAGTTTTATTGGTAATTTTATGCGAGTCAAAATTGACTCACAGTGTTAGAAATACCAAGCCAAGTTGAGTAAAACATTGTCAGTTTATGCATCAAACATGAGTAAGTACAAGCCCTGTTATAATTTAGGCAAAATTATGTAGTTTGATTAATTAACTTAATTATAAGATTGAAGGTAATTTAATTTATAGATATTTAATTTTAAAAACTTTGATATAAATCTTGCTAACAAAATGATTATGTATTGTAAATTGAAATCAAGTTGAAATTTTTGTTTAGAAATTTTATATAAAATAAAATTTATGACATGAATCTGTAGTTTTCACTTAGTAAATTATGTGTATATCATCTATTAATTTCAGTTCTCAAAATTTGTAAAAATGAATTAATACATTTTTCNTTTCCAATAAATCTAGCAGTAACTTCTCCTTTTATCAAAATTAAATTTTTCTTTATAATCTGATTACGAGAATACAAATGTGCAGAAGTTAGTGCTGCTTAACGTCATGATTGTTATAATGTGGATTTTCATTGTCTATTATTGAATTATGGTTGATAATAGATATTTTTATTTTAAATATAATAAGTTTATTGAAAATATTAAATATTTCTATAGTCTGTTTAAATTTGTTTATTAATGTTTAAAACATATTTAGGTACAATTGGTCATGTAGCTCATGGAAAATCTACAGTTGTAAAGGCTATATCTGGTGTACAGGTAAAATTACTTTAAAATATTATATGTAGACTTCACATGATTTATTATTCATCACATCAAAATAATTACTATTTTACATCTAGACTGTTCGATTTAAAAATGAATTAGAAAGAAATATCACTATCAAATTGGGATATGCTAATGCAAAGGTAATTTATTTTTATTTATTTAAATAACTAGTATTAATTTTTATTCTTTTATATGTTAATTAGTTTATACTTATCATGCAACTTCCAGCATATTGAGTATTCAATCACAGAAGTTTTTGGCTTTGTTTATAGGCCCTCTTTGGGTGAAATAACAAGAATAATAGTTCTACTGAGCTTCCAAATGTTCTGAGCTATTCAAATACCCTGTTCTAAGTACAGAATACCTAGAACAGGGTATTATTAAATTTACTATTACAGATTTTAAAAAAAATACATTATTCTCTAGTTCAAACACTGTAAGTCTGGAATATATTATGTCATAAAAACACACACAATTGAACCTTAAAAAATAAAATTTTAGAGAAGTTTAATTAATGAACATAAAACAAACATTTTCGATCTACATAGAATGCTTTAACCTGAAGATCTCCTATGTAGATAAAAAATGTTTGTGTTTTATGTGCATTAAACTTATGTTGTGTGCATTTTTATGATACATTATTCTATTTTATTTTTAAAATAAAATTTATAGTTTAGTATATTTTTATAATGTTCCATTCACAAATGCAGCTCCCCTAAACCTTTTTATCCCCTAAGGGTCTTGAACCACTCATTGGGAACCACTGATCTACAATATGAAATTTAATATTTAACTTACATGTACAAAAATAATAGAAATAGAAGAGATTTATTATTTCTTAATTTAAATTAAAAGTATGTTTCAACATGTCTTCTTTATTAAACTTTAAATGTAATAAAATATTTTTAGTATAGTTTTTATGAAATGCTGTGAATCTCTACATTATCCATGTATTTTGAATAATAAATTATTCAAAATGTTTAAAAGTTCTTTTTCATCAATATCTTTGTTTAATAATACAAAGTAATGTGGGATATAAAGCATACACTAAAAATGAAAAAATATTATTGGAATATTGGATAAACAAAGTTGAGAAAATTATCATTTAGGCATTAATAACCAACATGTTGTTTGTAGCCATAGATGTTGGTTATTAATGCCTAGATGATAATTTTCTCAACTTTGCTTAAAGCATACACTAGTAGAATCTTTCACTTTTTCTTTGAACCAGAAGAGAACAGAAATATATTATGAATAATATGAAGTATTGTATAATAAGCTTTTTAGTATTATATATTAGAACCTGATATCTGTAAAACGTGAAAAAAATATATATATATTCCTAAAAACCTGAAAAAAAAAATATTTTTTTTTCAGGTTTTTCACATTTTTTTTTCCTACTCTGAAAAAAAAAAATATTTTTTTTTTCAGAGTAGGAATTGCCATTAACTGAAATTGTAAATTGTTTCAAATTGACTATTGCTTAAAATTTTTGCATTCATTAGTTATAGTGAACTTGCTTATTATTTTATTTAATACTAGAAATATTATTAATTAAAATGAATATAGATAGTGAAATGAAAATAAACAATGTTTTCTTCTCTTTCCTGCTGTTTTTGTTTGTCTGTAACTTTTAATATGTTAAATTTAGTATGACTTAAGAAAAGAAAATTAAGATAAAGGATAAAAATTTAGAAAACATTAAGATATTAGATTATAAAATTTATGAAATTTAATTTTGATTTATTAGGATTTTTATTTTTATACTAGCTGTTATCCGCGGCTTTGCATGTATAGATTTTGCAATTTGATAGAAATACCCCTCCCTTGAAAAATCATCCCAGTGATTTATCACATAAGCCACTATTTCTGCACATACTTCTTTGACCATCACTTGAGTGTCATATAAAACAAAGGATATTGCTCTAAAGAGGCAAGCTCTGTCACATATAATTGGAACAATGGTGTGGGGTGTCATAACATCATTTATATTCAGTATTTCAACAACCATAGTAATTATTTAATTTATAACAATGTTATAAAATACATACCTCTTATTGCTGAGAATCATTTTACTGCTTCAAAGGAACACTTTCAATTTGATCAATTTTCTGGAACATTTACAATCATTCTATAATCAAACCAATATGCAATAACAAATTCAAATTTAAAATGGTTCGAACATTTGGTTAAAAAATCGTAAAACGTAAATATTGTACATTTAGAAATTAAGTTATTACCACCAGAAACAAAAAATCACATCTAAAATACTACAGTAGAAGCCATTCTTCAGGTTAAGCCTTAATTTTCTTCCTCTCTCCCCTCGGGGGAATTTTGATATAAAAACATGCACGTATTCGAATGCAACATGTGTCAAAATTTCAAAGCAATCGGTGAAGAACTTTTGGAGATTTAAGATTTTGAACAAATGAACATTTACATTTTTATTTATATAGATAATCAAAATTTTATATACATTTGCAAATTTAAATTTACTAAAATATGTAAAAATTTTTGGAGCTAGTATAATAAAAAGACTATAAATCTAATATAAAAGTTATTCATTTTAAAGTATTTATATAAGAATTTTTAAATTAAGTTTGCTGGTTTGATTTAATTGTATTTAAACTAGTTTGTTTATGTTTCATAACAAACTATTAATAAATAAATTTTATCATTTAAAATTATTAGATTATAAAATTAATATTCTAATATTTTTAGATTTACAGATGTGATAACGAAGCTTGCCCAAGACCTGCTTGTTATCGATCTTTTGGCAGTAGTAAAGAAGATGACTTTGCATGTGATAGACAAAATTGCAGTGGTCGCTTTAGACTTCTAAGGTATTACTATTGTTTTCTTTAGCATTGTATTTTAAAATAAAATTTTGAAAATTACATAAAATAAGGGACTAAAATATTTAAAGTGCAGAATTGTAAGATGAAGAAAAAACTTATTATATCATTTTATAAATAAATCAATAGTTTTAAGCACACCTATATATTATGTATACGGCCACAATCCATTAAATATTGTTTAATTAGAATATAACTTGCTAACTAGTTCAATGTTGGGGTCATTAGAATTTTGAATTTTATTTATACTGAATAAACCTTTAAATATTTTCATAAATGCTATTCCTCTCTTCTTTTTTTAACTTTATAAAATTCAGTTGCGAAAAGATTAAAGATTTTTTAAAATTACTTTCAAAATCAAGAAATAAATTCATTTAAAATTCACATTTTTTTATTTTAAATCAATTTATAATTTTTACAGATTACTTTTTGAATATCTCACTCAATATAATATTCTTAATAGAAAACTTATTTTTATTCATTTTTATGAATAATCTAGTATTTTTAAAAGATTTCACTCTGTATAGAGCTTTTCATACTTCATATAAGTATGTTTGTGCATTGCCATCTATGCAATGATAGACTGTTTGATTAATTCCTTTCTATTATATAAGTATGATTCTTGAACATTAAAAATTTCTGATTCTTTTTCTTCATGGTGACAATTATTATTATAATGTGAAATCAGATTTTTTTAATCTATATTATGTTTATATTATGTTTGTTTAACATTATTTATCTAAATACAGTGGGTGATCGGTTAATGAACATAATGGGTAATCGGTTAATGTTCCAAGACTTTGTTCACTATCCGAATTGTTCGTTAACTGATTATTGATTTACCGTAGGTTTTTATGGAAATTTGATTAATTCGTTTTGGAGACCCCAAAAAATAAAAAATATATACTTTCTTACTATGTTTATTTATATGTAATAATAAAAATACATACATACCCAGTCTTACATTTTTATTAGTCATGTTTTTTTCTGTTTATGGGAGTTAAAGAATCTGTCTAATGTCAATTGCTTTTCTCTCTTCAGAATTTTTCAAAAGTAATTAATAGAATTGTAATTGTAGAGATCCCTAAGCCTATTAACTTCAACCTGGTTTGGATGCCATTCTAAGACTGTTGTTCTGGCATCATCCCACTTCAAAAGATCTTTAATAGCAGATTTTGGCATTAACCCTCTTTTTCAGAAGAAAACATATCTCGCCGAGATATTCAAGAGTTCTTGGCATTCTTCTGTTGTCAGATCCATTTCAGGTTCCATTATGAACTCTTCGATGTTCTTTATTTCTCAGATGTGATTTTTGTTACTCCTTTAGCTGCTTGAGTCTTCTTGATTATACAGTAGTTTTCTTAAATAAGATTGAACTGCTGCCTACTGTAGACCTGTTCATGCCATACTGCCCAGCAACATTAGGCATCTTCTGCCCACTCTCTACCTTTGCTATTATACTCTCAACTTTCGAAAATAAAAACCGACGCAAAACTTAACGAGTGCTCGCCCGACAGTCTCGCGAATACTATAAAAAAATTGTTTCTGTCAGAAAAATAAAAGGCTGGAATTACAAGAGAGAGTTTCAAAGTTCAGAGGAATACTATCCGATCAGTATATACCAGATTGAGTATCAATGCTGACATCTCCCACGCTCCAAAAAGTTTCAAATTGTTGTCTGAAGACAAGGGAAGACCAATTGGTATTCATTATTTTATGTTGTTTCTTCTTGTGCTTGTTCTATGAGATGTTTGTTGTCTGAACATAAAAATCTTTCACAAAAGTGTTTGTTATCTGATTTGTTTGTTAACCAATCACTGTATATTACAAGCTATTTCACTAATAATTATTATTAGAAGAAATAGATATACATATTGAATTATATGGACTTTACATGTCTACTAAATTAGGATAAAATTATTTAAAATTCAAAATACTTCAAAACTAAAATTTGTTATGAATTTTCTATATGTATGTATGTATGTATAAATATAGAATGACATAAAGTTAACTATTGTCGTTTAACAATAGTTAATTTCACATCGTGTATAAAGTAATTACCGTATCCTCTAACCAAATCCAAAATTTCGTGGATTGTTTAATACGTATCTCTCATACTTTCTCTGTTTTTCGGCGATTAATTTAAAAATCAATTATCTCAAATGATAATTGTTAACGTACTGTACGTGTTTCCATTTATCCTCTGTTTAAAATTTATTTAATTTTAATTAAAAAATATAAAAGAATAGTTTGAATCTTGTGTTTTAACTAGAACCGTCCAAGTAATTAGAGAGGCAACGTTTTTATGACTTCTTCTGGTGTCTTTATTAACCTATAAAACAAAGTTTTATGGTGAAATTTAACGATTTGTATACGGGCTCTTATAAAAACTTGTTGCATACCATTCTTCTTTATTATATTTATTTATTTATTTTGAAATTTTTTTGTTAGATGGATACACATGCAAGCACGCGTGCTTTTTCTATGTCTATAAAAGTAAATTAGCGCGCGCGTATGTATTCGAATGTTTTCTCAGCTTCGATCCCCGATTCTTATCCCCAGTTTTCTAGTTTCTATAAATAGAATCTAGTGCTTTGCTATTTCGCGTCTGCGCCGAACGAGTTGGCGGTGGTCCATCGGACACTGCGACAGTTTGTTTTCACCGATACCGACAGAAAGACAAGTTCTACCGAATGCTGTCAAGACAACTCTTTACTGTAAGATGGATGTTTTTATAAAGCCTGCAATGCAACCATAGAGAGAGAGAGAGTTGCCTACTTTTTTTTGGTACGTTCTTTTCAACCTCTCCCCCTCCTCTTCTGTTTTAAACTCGTCTGATTGTGTGCATTCGGACCCCGTTCGTATGTGTGTATGTGTATGTATATGACAGTTTCGTTCGAAAATCGCTACATATTTAAATATAAATACATTTTTTTTTTAGTTTAAAAAAGGAAGAAGAAAGAAAAAAGTCACTCGAGTTCTATTTACGTGGGTACTCCACTTATATAAACAAAATCACGATTTTACCCCCGACTTTTTAAAATTTTTTTCTCTTTCGTACGATGTTTTACGTCTTTTCGATCTAAAAAATTGCTTTTTTAAATAAATTTTTTGATTTTTTTTAAATTCTCATTAGCTAATTAAAATCTTGATATTATTTTTCTCGTTATGTCAGTTATCTGTAACTTGTTGCTGCTACACGGTACGTGCTATTCGAAATTAAATGTGCGTTTAATTTACATTTATAAGTGTATCACGTACCTGAACGGATGATGACGAAGACGACGATTTAAAAACATTTTCTTTTGAATATTTTCTTTTGGTTTATCTTATGCAAAAATGTGCTTCTATAATCAATGAACAACTGGTTGACGCGAAAGATGTAAACTGAGTCCAGAATGGTTGGCAGAAGGATTCAGATCAGTTATTAACCTTCGATATATTTTGGTATCGGTTAAGATTTTGAAATAATAATGTTTTGTGTAGATTTTTGGACAGTTTTATTATAAATAATCAAATTTTTAATAACTTTAAATCTGGTTTTGTTTAAAATCTATGAAACAATATATATATATATATTTTCTTCTTATATCAACTTCTTAAAAA